TGATCCAGATTTATGTCTGACATTTAGAAATGGCAAGTAAAATTGATATTTCACAACGTTCACTGTTGAGACAAAGTAAATGTTCCCTTTCGCGAGCGGGTCTGACTCAAAGAGATGTTTCCACGTTTTACGTTTTCTTCCACACGTCTGCGGCCAGTATATGGTTTGGTTCCTAGACGAAAAAGGCCTTGAGTATAATTCCATTCTCTTTGCGTTAGTTCAGTGAAACCCATAAAAGCATCGGTCTTTGAGTTTGTGTGTTCATTTTTTCAGACTAATCTTCGTCAATACATGATTCGTTCGTAACCTGACCATCGCACTTTGAGAATATTGTTACTGAATACATACGACTGCTTTCAGAATCACAATTTTCGTATTTGTTCTTAAAGTTTGATCCTTTCATGAAAAACACAGTAAGAGAGCCATGTCAGTCTGACGTTTTACAACGAAGTTGTGAAAAAGATGCTCGAACATACCTGTATCTTAGATTCGGTCACGTTCATTTAAACAAACGAAGCCTCATCGGCTCATCAACTGCTGACGTGAGAGACGAATCACTGCTGAGAATAAGATCGCTGGCCAGTACATCATCTGGTAAGGAAATGAACCAGTGACCTGCACTCGATGACAGATTCACATAGTGAAAAAATATCGAAGTGATGAACGAACTTAATGACTTCTAAGCTGCCAATCACTGTGCAAAACGGCAAAAGGTGATGACAAAAAACAAACATAAATTCTTGTGAGTACATTGGATGGGGACGGATGAATGATTGATATTAGCAGCGAGAAACGGGATATTCACGCTTTAGAAGGACAAAAATGTCAGTAATAGTATCAAACTGTCATTGCATAACACTTGCAAAGTGAAAACAAAACTGGAAGCGATGGAAATGAAACTTTAAGATCAGCAATATAAGTGAAGTAAGAAATATGGTGTCAAGTGATGTTGTAAGAGAGAGAATACAACTGAACTGCAACTGAAATAACCAGCTGGCTGCACACAGAACGTTTAAACTGGTGGGTCCTTCGTCACTGCTGGCGGGACGATAGCCGCAGGTTTGCAAAAGGAATAATGAAAATAAGGCTTGATGGCCGCCGATCACCATCAAAAGAGTCAGGTGAGCTGCTTGTACGGCACCAGGATACGTTTCCGACGTATGCCATTAGAAGAACATAGTTCGTTACGTACGTTCGTTTATTGCATACTAGCGTTGAACAACCGTTGTCGTTCCGACTCGTGTTTCGCACACTCGCAACCAAAGTCCGGTTGCAATATGGTATAAAAAATTTCCTGCAACTTTTCTGTAAATGCCAATTGCATAATCTACAGTGGTGTTGAATTTATAGATATCGCAGCATTGACTTGAGTTTGCGGCTTGCAACTTACCATACAACCAGGAACTAAGAAATCCGCCAATCCAGCGACCTACACTACAAGAGGTAAATTCCGTATCGCATGTTGGAACACTGGATCCTTGCCTGGCGAAGGCAAGTTAGATTATATCTGCATTACAGTTTGGTGATGTCTGTCAGCACAAACTCGATGTACCGGCAGTCACGAAAGCTCGCATCCCGGGAAGGGGACACTTAACCTGCAGGATGGGTGGTCATATTGGTAGTCGGACCACAGCAGATTACGCACTGCCCCTGTTCGATCCTCTTGTTTTATACAGTAACATGGGTGGTCATTCCTGTGGAACAGGTGTCGAACAGGATCCAGCTATGTAGCATGAATGTCGAACAGGCAACATTGAAAGTCACTGTTTTTTTGCGCGCATACAAATGTGTCGAATAACGGCGATAAAAACGCTTTCAATTATCGCCTGCAGTCGGCTGTTAGCTCCCCGTCTCCTCATGACGCCACAGTCGTTCGAGACGACCTCAACGCATTGGCGGGGGCCGAGTACAGCGCGTGGTCAGGAATATTTGACCGCCACGACAGCAAGAATGACACCAGTAGGTTTCTGTCAAACTCTAGAGCGGCAAACATTTTAAGCATGGGGACGCTATTTCCTCACAAGCAAATGTGCCAAACTACGTGATCGTTCTAGAAAGAAACATAAACACCCAACTGGACCATAGATACACCAAATAAGCTGTCATTTCCTTGGCGAAAAAAGTAGTTAGGGCCAGCAGAGAATAGTCAGAATGCGGTGAGTTATGGAATCAAATCTAAACCTCAAAATGAAAAGGAATCTCGCAAAGGAGTACATGTAACACTCTACTGAACCCTGGAAAGCAATTCATCACCAATCGTTCGCGCAATCAATCAGAGTTACACGCGAGGACGGGAACTCAGGATGGAGAGCGAAATGAGAAATATCTAAGAAAGAAGCCGGAAAGGCTAACTGACAGACAGTGTTCAAAGGAGTGCAACAGGTATCCGGTAAGCAATGAACACTGACCGTATGTATCCCACTGGCAGATCAGAAAAACGCCCTAAAGGCTTGCTTTCCAGCCACTGTTCAACGCTGTCTTTCAGAATCGTCATTTTCGACCGTTAATTCTTTGCCAGCGCTAGAGAGATTCACCTACGAAACTAACAATTCAGAATGTCTGGTTACACTTCAAGGTGGATTGAATTTTCATGGAGTTCATTAAGTATGGAAGAGCGGGAATGGTAGGAAAATTCTATGTTCTACTTCACCGAACGTGGACCTACAAACGTTTCCCATTAAAACAGAAGTATGGAGCAAATGTAGCTAAAATTAAAAGAGGTCAAGCGACTGAGTGTTGCAATTTTCGTGGAGCCGCATTAATAAAAAATATAGGGCAACTCTTCTCCTATACAATGTCAGAAAAGCTGAAGCAGGCAGTTGACAGGAGCTTTCGCCCAAATCAAGCAGGCTAACAGACGAGATAGTCTTGTCCTAGCCAAATTTTGCCTCCGCATAAGATCACTGAGAACTGCTGACGAAGTCAGTTAATCTGGTTCCCCCAGTTCCTTCCAAGTCTGTACTTGATTCACGACAACTTCCGACGATGCGGAAAATTATTAATACAATGGAATACTGTACAGATCGTTTCTATTTTGGAAGTGATGTACGCAGAAACCGTGTTTGCTGTCAAAGTTGAAGGAAAGCAATCGGAGTTGTTTGCTGTTAACTGTAGACCACGCCAGGGGAACGTGCTTTAACCTTTGCAAATAAACATTACTGACTTTCTTCTCTGAAACAGTGCTAACCTTGGCAAAGAGGAAGCCTCATTCTTGAGAAAAGGCGCGGTTGAAGAAATCAAGCTAGATATGCTGCTGGCCTGAAGTATGTAGATGCTATTGTGCCGGTGAGGAGCAAGAGAAATGCGCGCTGTCACCTTACGCTTCCGGTTGTTACAACACAACGGCGAAGGCCGGCATATTACTTGACGTCAGTAAGTCAAAAGTCCTGACGAACCTATCTGGCACAATGATCTAAAAAGACAATAGGAAGATGAGGCCCTTCAGGAGGATGACTGGTTTCAGTATCTCGGCTTCACCGACGAAACTATCCAGCCAGAGCTAAATAGGCGGATCTCTCTAACCTCGAGTGCTTTTGAAAATATATCAATATTTGGGTTAAGAAAGCAATTACTATTCCCAAAAATCTTCCTACATTTTTGCCTGCGACACCTGAATCGCAGAAGAATCGGCAAGTAAGCGAGCGTGCGACATAGAAGACAACAACGTAAACGTAGATTTGAGAAGAATATTTCCTTCTATGATGCAGCAACTATGCCCAGAGCAAAACAACCTAAGAGCTGCAAACAGAGGAGACAGTACAAAGCAAAGATGTTCTGTTGATGCAAACGGTTCAAGGCCATGATGCCAAACAGAATGTATGGAATGTGTGCTGACACACTAGCCATTAGTCGGCCATAGGCATGGTCGCAGATTTAGAATTACAAAGATCCCGCCGAATACAATGCTGCCATTACTGTTTGCAGGTCTTCGGCCTGCTACCCGTTTCTTGACTGTTTGCATAAAAGATGAATGCCTTGCCCAAGAAATTAGTGGTTAGGAAAATTTAATTTAGAATTAAATTTAAAATAATTGAATTGAATTTATAATTTAATAGAATTTAG